ACTGTCCTGAGTCAACCAACGCCTGGATGAGTTCCAACGTGAGTTCCAGAAATCGGGGAGCGAGTCCAACGAAGGCAGCTCGGGCGGGTCCCCTTTTACTCAGGAAATACAGGGCAAGCATGTACCCCTCAACTTCAGGCTACTGGTATTAGAGACATACGACAGGGCTCCGATCCCACGGAGCATGTCTCTGCATTTCGGGCTCAGATGGCCCTCTATGGCACCCCCGATGCATTAATGTGTCGAGCGTTCCCAACCACCCTCAGGGGACCGGCACGAGCATGGTTCAACCGGTTGCGTCAGTCTTCGATCTCATCCTTCGACCAACTCGCTAGGGAGTTCGAGCAGAACCTCCTCACCAGCATGTGACCTAGGCCTTCCATGGCCACCTTGCTCGCGTTATCTCCGCGCGAAGATGAGTCGCTCTCTCAGTTTGTGGCACGTTTCGCCATAGAAATCCGGGGATTCCTGGACGCTCACCCTCTTTAATCATGCATGCATTTCTGATGGGCTTGAAGCCTTCAAGGTTCATCTGGTTGCTGATCGAGAAGCTGCTTGTAACCATCCCCAAGATGCTCCAATGCGCCAGCCAGTACATCGTCGTCAAAGCTCTGGTGGCGGGAAAGCGCATGGACAACAAGAGGCCAAGGGTGGAACAATCCCGGGGAACGACTTCAGCAACCTCGGTGAAACCCCGCCAGAGGCCCGACTGACAAGAGCTACTACTCCCGAGGCCCCCGCCTCTCCCTCTGAACATGTTCCACCGGGACTACGACCATGGCACGGAAGATTGTCGTGACCTCTAGAACCAAATCGAGGACTTGATCCAAAAAGGTCACCTCGGGCGCTATCTCAAGGAACCCCGAGAAGCAACTCCACATCCCAGGGGACCCATCGAAAGACGCCTCGTCATCTAAAATCTCCCCCTGAAAGACCACTCGCGACAAGAGGTCCACAGGCCCGCTGGCTCGTCGGCCCAGCTCTCGCTCGAATCACTCCAAATCGGTTCCCGACCGACGAGTAGTTCTCGACCTGTGACTCACCGGCCTAGCTCTTGCCCGAGTCGTTCCAGATCGATTCCCAACCTACGACTCGTCAGCCTATCTCTTGCCCGAGTCGCTCCAGATCGGTTCCCAACCTGCGACTCACCGGCCCAGCTCTCGCCCGAGTCGCTCCAGATCGCTCCCGACTTGTGACCCGTCGGCACTGAAACCTGAGCCTGAGTATAGTCACTCAGCTCTCGGAATCCAACTCTTGCCCGGGTCGCTCCAGTTCACTCCGGACTTGTGACCCGCCAGCATCGAAACCTGAGCCTGAGTATGATCACTCGACTCCAGGTCTGGCTCCTGCCTGGGTCGCTCTAGTTTGCTCTTGACTTGTGACCTGTCGGCACCAATGCCTAAGCCCGAGTATAGTCACTCAGCTCCCAGAATCCAGCTTCTACTCGGGTCGCTCCAGTTCACTCCCGACTTGCAACCCGCCGACACCTAAATCCAATGCCCGAGCCACGCATCTCAGCCAAATCCAACACCTGAGTCGCATCTTGGCCAAATCCATGCCCAAGTCACATCTCGGTCCAATCCCATGCCCGAGTCGCATCTTGGCCAAATCCAACGCCCGAGCCACGCCTCTCGGCCAATTCGACGCCAGAGCTACGCATCTCAGACAATCTGATGCCCAATGCACGCATCGCGGCCAATCCGACGCCCGACACATGCATCGCGGTGAGTCCAATGCCCGAGCCACGCATCTTGACCAAATCCAATGCCCAAGTCGCACCTCAGCCAAATCCATGCTCGAGTCGCATCTCGGCCCAATCCCACGTCTGAGTCGCATCTCGTCCAAATCTAATGCCCGAGCCATGCCTGCCGGCCAATCCGACGCCTGATGCACGCATCGTGGCCGCTCCGACGCCCGATACACACATCACGGCCAATCCAATGCCCGAGGCATGCATCAAAACCAATCCGACACCCGAGCCATGCATCTCAACCAATCTGATGCCTGATGCACGCATCACGGCCAATCTAATGCCCGACGCATGCATCACGGCCAATCTGATGCCCGACGCACACATCGCGGCCAATCCGATGCCCGAGCCATGCGTCTCGGCCAGTCCAATGCCCGAGCTATGCCTCTCGATCAATCTAACGCTCGAGCCATGCCTTGCAGCCAGTCTAGTGCTCGAGTCGCATCTCGGCCAATCCGACGCTCGAGCCACGCATCTCGACCAATCCGATGCTCAAGCCATGCCTCGCCAGCCTAGTCCATTGCCCAAGTCGCCCCACGTCAATCTTTGACTCGCGAGTCATCAAATCTCAAACCGAATCGCTCCAGCTCGATCCTCGATTCACGACTTGCTGATCCACTACTAAGTCGTCCTAACACGACCCATGATTTGTGACTCATCGGCCCCGACTCTGAGCCGTGCCAAACCGGTTATCTGACTTACGACACATCGGTCTCACCTTGTCACGCCCTAACTGCTTGATCAACAGAGTCAATCCTTCTAGAGGCAGGGGGCGCTGCCCCTCCAAACTGCCCCACGATGAGCCAATCCAGCTTCCCCTTGTAAGCAATCCATGCAATCGCATCACTCTTACCCAGGCCTGCCTCTCGGCCCTTTAAGGACCCCACGGCATGCCTTGGAGGGGGGGAGAAGTGATACGACCTATTTTAGGCCCAAGACACATCACAACCGATGCCACATGCTAGGTCAGAATCCGTACTAAAGCGTTGCTCGGCACGTCTCGTCTCAGGAATCCTAAGATGGCGTGGCCCCCAAGATACGCCAAGTCAGAATCCGTACCAAGGCACTGTTTGGCACGTCCACCACGCCAACCCACGTACGACCGACCCTCGTATAGTAATATAAAGGTCTCTGGCCAGCATCTATCCAGAGGGAGAGGCAAAATCAATTGAACACTTTACTGACTTGCTCGTCGGAGGGGCCAAAGTCGGGAATCACCCGACGAAGGCCATTTTTGCAGGAAAGCGGTCGCCCACGACCCACGAGCATCTCAACCTAAGAATTGTCATCCGATGTACGAGAACGAGCTGCCAACAACCCCGAAGACAGAGAGACATGGCTCCACATAAACGGCGCCCGGATCGGCAGACCGAGGAACGCTGATTAACACCCCATCGCGAGAGCCCGGTCGACCTCGGCATCCAGTTCAGCCGACAGAAGACTCCCGACATCGACCCGTGGACCCGTGGATCAGGCCCTCCTTCTAGTGCCAAAAATATTAGTGAACAAATGTGCCGTGGCTAGTGAGTCATCACGGCTTGGTCCACGGGCCGATGTCAGGAGTCTTCTGTCGGTTGAGTTGGATGCCGAGGTCGATCGGGCTCTCGTGATGGGGTGTTGACCAACGTTCCTCGGTCTGCCGATCTGGGCATCGTTTATGCAGAGCCATGTCTCTCCGTCTCCGAGGATGGTTGGCAGCTCATCCTCATACACCGGATGGCGATTCCCAGGTTGAGACGCTCACGGGTCGTGGGCGACCACTTTCCTGCAAAAATGCGTTCGTCGGGTGATTCCCGACTTTGGCCCCTCCGACGAGCAAGTCAGTGGAGTGTTCAATTGATTTTGCCTCTCCCTTTAGACAGATGCTGGCCAAAGGTCTTTATATTACTATACAAGGGTCGGTGGTACGCAGGTTGGCGTGGTGGATGTGCCAAACAGTGTCTTGGTACAGATTCTGATTTGGTGTGTCTTGGGGGTGGCGCTGTCTCAGGATTCCCAAGACGAGACGTGCCGAGCAATATTTAGAACAGATTCTGACCTAGCATATGGTGTCGATTGTGATGTGTCTTGGGTCCAAAATAGACCGTATCACTAAGCATCGTTACCTCTACAAATGGATCGGTCAATATTAGAGTTTTTCTTTGGTAGGAGATTAGCCTCTTTTCACATGAAAGGACCATTTGATTTGCCTACTCTTTAAAGAAAAATAATGATAGGTCATGCAAACTGATTATTTACTGGGGCTTAAGCTTCAGTGCCTTTGATTACCCCTTTCAGCTAATGTGATGGCTCCTTTAATATGAACAGTATTATCCTGCTATATACTGACATCTGCATGAAGCTTTCACAACAAATCTGTTGATGTTAAAATGGTTGTCTTCCATAAATTTGCTTGAATCCATTTTGAAAGCTACCAGCAATCTTGTGTGGTTGCTACTAAGTTTTCTACCTTCATGCTATACTGAATGCTTTAGTACATCAGACTAAAAACTAATTACCTATTGTGCTTGCCCAGGATCCAGTATCAGCTAAGTAATTACCTTTGCAGTAACACCTGAATTTTCACCAATTTAATATTCTTATTCTTAGATTTCCAAGGACCTAAAAGCCTTGAAGTCTTTTACCCCATATATTATGACATTTAGTCACTCTTATGTCAAAAATTTGTGAATTACACATGAAAGATCTACATGCATTAGTAGAGTGGCAAGACTACTTTAAGCTATTATATAACTTGGCAACTTGGAAACTGATGCTCTGAAATCATCCATGTTGTTGGACAAGAAAGAAATTTGTGCAATACGAATTAAATGTAGTCTTCAGACTCTTTGACTAACCTTATCATATCCCTTTACTGTTGATATTTATGGTGCAGCACAAGAATTTTGTGATGCTTCCATTATAGCAAGAAGTGCAGACATGTATGGTTTTACAGTTGGGTAATGATGTTTTTACTTTCCAAGAATGTGAAAGAGAACTCAAATATGTTTTTTATTTTCTGAAGCTTATTTATTATGTCCAGCAAGGAGATTAATGACATCAGGTTCTTGTGATTGATGGGTTAATCATTTAATGTGTATGCAATTTGCAATCTGATCTGATCTAATCCATCTATATTGATCTGTTCTATGCGAGGTCAAGCCTGACCCAAATCGAGTCCATTAAGCCCAATAAGAATGTGGTTGAAGCCCATCAAGAAACAATTCAAAATTTGAATCGCTTGGTGGTGTCAGATTCGTCGGTCGTTATCCTTCCCGAGAGCCGTTGTAGCCCGTGCCTCCGCCGTCCGAGCCGTACTCCCTCCGCCTCCTTCTCGTCAAAATCTTGATCTTTTTCTCGTTCTTTTCCTTGATCAAGGCAGAGGGAGGAAGAAAGCTGCTTCTTCGGAGTGCGGTCGTGTTCCTTGTCCTCGTTGGTCTGTCCATGGACGCTGGTCCTCTTCCTCGCTCGCTGATCCACACCAATGCGGACGCATCCGGTGCATTTTTCTCTCTTCTCGATTTATAGAGTTTGATCCTCGGATTCTGCCCTAGTTTCTGGGTTAGGGTTAGGTTTAGCGTTTAATGCTGGGTTTGCTTGCCTTATAGGAGAATCAAATCGCATGATGAAAGCGCATGATGTGCTGCCCTTGGTCGGAAGCGCCGCTGCGAGGAAAAGATTGTCCGACATCACCAACACGGTGAGTTCGGGGAGGGCCGGAATGATGGGTGCCGATGTCGATCAAGGTAACTCGAATGTGATTTCTTGCCCGAGCTCCAAAGATTGCATCGTCCAGCTCATGAAGGTACCTTTGGAGATTTTCTTTTTGGGCTACCTTTTTCATCTTTCTTTCATTCTTCATCTGCATTTAGTGTTTGTTTCTAAAAAAGATGTTTGAAAATGCTTTTTTCTTTACATGATCAATATGAATTCCAGGAAAATACTGCCTTGTTGAAGCTTCTGGCAGAAAAGAAGTATGTAAATTGTAAAAGACAAAATTACTTCTTGACTGAGAGATAGTCCGTCGAAATTCATGGACCAGCGATCGATTGATGTGGTTTGATCCGTTGTTTGTTTTGGCAGCAAAATCATAGAACTGAGTAGCACTGAGTCGCAAAAACTCCAATTTGAATTGCAGAAAACCAGTCAACAAAACTGGCAATTGGCCCGGGCTAACTCACACATGCTAGCGGTCGATTCCTTGTTCATTTTCTTTATTGTTTCAGTTCGCAAAAAAAGATTTATTCTTTATCTGTTACGTCTTTTGATTCGCAGGAGCTCAACTTAGGGAAAGATAGAGTATGTTTTCTGGTCTTATGGTTTAGCTCATTGTGATTTTCGTTTTGCTATAATAGGCGATTTTATTTGATTTACTTTGTGTCAATCGATTGAAATTCCATGTCAAGTTATTTTGATTGATAATATTTATTTATTTATTTCATGTTGCAGCTAAAAGTATTACAACATGAGCTTGGTTGTACCTTATCAATCCTTAAACTAAAGACTTCAGAATTAGAGGTAAGGGGGATTATTATAGTTTCATAATTTGTTTTCTCCTTTCATAATCTCTATGGTGATATATATTTTTTCTTTACTCTAACTTAGGAGAAAGAAAAATTGATCAAAGAACTCCTTAACAAAATTGGCTCAGAGGTATCCAATGGCTTGTTTTGTTCACATTCAGGCTGCCCTTTTTTTGCTCATAATGTTATTTTTCTTTCTATAAATTGTGAAAGGTAGGAAGCACCAGGTGTGAGGAGGTTGAAGCAAATGCAACTCAACTTGCTAATGACAAGAAAATCTGCAATCCCAATAAGAAGCGCAAGTTAAAACAGCAGCGTAATTCAACTCACCACTATGAGTGAAATAAGTGGTTCTGCATCTGATTTCAAATCTCTATGTATTTGTTCTTCATTCTTATATCAGTTGTATGGTTCTGCAGCTTTAGGCCCTATCGCTTTGGTTCATCAAGTGGCATCAGAAGGAAAGGTTGATGGTAGAAGGTAATTCATGTTTTGGATAAGCTTTGAATAATTTGTTAATCTTTAACAACAATATAAATTCTGAGGCATTCTAATGAAGAAGGAGGTCCTTACGAACAAAATCCAGTGGCTTGAAGTCTGAATCATGTGAATTTGTGAATGACTTGCTCAAAAGAGATGATGGCAGATCTCCAATGACCCATCGAGTGGGCCTAGAGGAAAAGGTTGTGGGAAGAAGGTAATGCACATTCTGATTAAGCTATAGGCCCCACGTTTTTTTTCTCTGGAGAGCAGCATTGAAACTCATACCTATTTTATTTTTGCAGAAGTTCCTTCCGAACAAGATCTTGTAGTTTGAAATCTGAATCACATGAATCTATGGAGTTGCACAAGATTGATGATGCCATACTTCCAGTGAACTTTCAGGTGCCATCAGAGGAAAAGATTGATGGAAGAAGGTAATCCATGTTTTATATGGCTTTGGAATGGTTCCTGCTTTTTAGTATTTAAAATTTGAGCATTTTTTTCTAAAACAGAAAATCCTTACGGAGGAGATCCGGTTATTTAAAGTCTGAATCATGTGAGCCTACGGAGAACTCAGTCAAGATGGAGGATGCCAAATTTTTAGTTTATACGATTAAGAATGAAAATTTGCATGAGGAAGCTATTGCTCATGGAGATTGTTCTACTTCTTCCATATCAAATATTTCTGTTGAACGAGTAAAGAATGAGAAGCAGAATTCAATTGGGTCTTCAGAACTCGGGAATCAGGAGGGCCAAAGAAGATCCTCTGTTGGAAGGCCATTGCGGAAGGCGGCTGAGAAGGTCGGTTCTTACAAGGAAATGAATCTGAATGTAAAAATGCGAAGATCAGAGTAAGATTCTGGGTTCTCTGCTTACATCACTAAAATTTCCGATGGTGCTAGCTGAGAGCTGCTCACATTCTTGGATCCACTTAATATATCTGCTAGATGAGAGCCTTGACATGCCAATGTTTTCTTTTTCTTGATATTTTGTGATGACATGGTGAAATGTATTACTGTATTGTAAGATTAATTAGTAGAAACCCATAGCTTAGTTTTGCAGCTTCTTATTAGTTTGCCCTGCACAAAACAGAGATATTTTGAGATAAAATAGTAGTAGCATTATATGTTGTATGATTTGCTACAGTTGAAATTTATACTTGTCTCAGGGAAAAAATGGTGTTTTGTTTTTTCTTGTTTAGTGATTCAGTTGTATGACATACTACATCCAACTTGAGAAGTTTTACGGTATGATAAAATATTGTTAGTGTAAAAAATGATTGATGAGCCAATAAAGTTGACTCGTCCCCTATTGTCTCTCTGGAATGTTATTGCCTCTAAAATTTGAATGCTCCTTGAGAATGTCCAGAATAGTTTGTCTTTCTTGTTTGGTATCCTCAATATTTTACTTGTTAGCATATAAAATTGGTTATTTTTAAAATTTTATAAAAAAATATTAACATGTTTAAATTTAAATATCATAATTTAAAAGAAGTTTATGATTTAGATAAGAATATTTATCACTTCTCAATTTTAAAAAAATCCATAATAAGATAAAAATTATTGAGAGAAAAGAAAAAGCATGCAATTACAAAGAGCATAGTTTATCGAAGTATTGTTTGAGTCGAGACCTAATAAATGACTAATGAACTTCGGTCACCTTGATGATATATGGTTAACTTAGGGAAGCATGGCTAACTTGGAGTTTCAATCGTCATGATTCGATCGACTTGAAAATGTACCTTTTAAAGTCTTGGTTGACCTGAAGTTACAATCATCTTGAAGAAGCATGATTGACTTCCTTGATGGCTTGACCAATTTGAAAATATGGCAAGTGTGACAAACATAAAGTTGCAACCAACTTGAATCGTCATAGAGTAGTGATTGTTTTGTCGATGTGGCTTGTCCATTTTGAGGACACATCCCCGACTCGAAGAAGCAAAGCTGGATTGGAGGTTCAGGTGCATATATCTTGATGATGCATGAGCGACTTGATGAAGGAATCAACTTGAAGAAACATGCCTAACTTGGAGTTGTGGTTGCCTTGACAACACGACCTTTTAACGCTCGATTAACTTAAAGATGCAATTGACTTGAAGAAGCATTGCCGACATGAGTTGCAAACAACTTAAGGATACATGATTGACTTGAGG